AAGGCTCTTGGCTCAACTACATCGAAGCTGGTGCAGAGGTTTATGCAGAGCTGCATAAATCTCACAGTCTGGGAGCTCTTTCATTGTAATGGAAAGGTGACTGGCAGGTCTTGAAAGATATTTCTGTTTGTTAAAGACCTGAGTAGCAGTTTGTGTTTTCACTTGCTTGTTGTCAGTCTAGCTCACCTGTTTTTAAGGCCCCTTGGGTGCTGAGTTGTCTCTGAAATCAGTGCTGGGAATAGCGTTAGGGTAGTACTAAATTTGAGACAGAGTGGGAGCTTATTTTGTTCTCCATACTGTAACTATACAGATAGGTAGTTGTGCATGTATTTCTATGTAGCCAATTTATTGTTTGCTTTCAAAGAGCATATCCCCATTAATTGCTATTAAAATATTTTTTCATATATTTACAATTACTGTGTGTTTCTCTGATTTTCCACCTTAATGAAAGTGGAAAGAAGTCAAAATTTTAAACTTTTTCACAGAATGAGATATAAAGGGGAGTGGGATTTCTGTGTGTATGTTTTGTACCAGGAGGGATTAAATGTGACTGTCCTTGAAGGAAGAACTTTGTAGCAAGACAATGAAAAGTTCAACAAATTTTAGCAGTAAACCATAGTCAGCTGAAGAGAAAAGGCATTGTTTATAAATACGTAAAGGGTGAGTGTCAGGAGGATGGAGCCAGGCTCTTCTCTGTGACATCCAGTCATAGGACAAGGGGCAATGGGTTCGAGTGGGAAATAGGAGGTTCCACTTGAATATGAGAAAAATCTTCTTCGTGGTGAGGGTGGCAGAGCACTGGGAGCAGGCTGCCCAGAGAGGTTGTGGAGTCCCCTTCTCTGGAGACATTCAAAGCCCACCTGGATGCGTTCCTGTGTGATCTGATCTAGGTGTTCCTGCTCCAGCAGGGGGATTGGACTAGATGATCTTTCGAGGTCCCTTCCAATCTCTAACATTCTGTGATTCTGCGATTCTGTGATGTGAAGTGCAGAGGTGAAAAGAGAGAGAGACTGGTACTGCTTTTGAAATGAAGAGTGTTTTTGCAAGGAGGTGGTATTTGCAGAGCACATACTTCACTGTGATTCTGATTCAAGTAATGTGGTGATGCTGGTAAACATTGTACGTAAGTTACTTTGCTTATCTGTCTTCTCTTAGTCTTTCTTAACATGTCTTCAGGAAGACCACAGGGTCCATCAGGCATCTCATGACCTAAAGGTTCACTCTCAGAATCAAAAACGATAGGGACCCTGAGAAGACCCTTGTGTGTGAGGCTGTGGAAAATCTGAGGTCCTGAGCAAGAATTATCTTCAGTAGTTTCTAAGAGGCACTAAAAAAAAATTTAAAAAATCAAAGTCAAAGATCTTTGTAATATTTGTCCATAGGTCTGTCTTCTGAGTCTGGTGATGGAAAACTCCCAAGAGTTTACTTCAGATTCTTTCAGTATTATTTCAGTTGTGAAAAGGTTGAAGAGATGCTGAGGGTCTTGTTTTGAGGTAGAAGCAACAAAATGATAATTTTTGTAAACTACCTTTTCCCAGTGTAAGAGTAGCCCACATTCCAGTAATTTGCATATGTGTGTGAATGTCATGGGAACAGAACTGGTCAAATAGTTTCAGACAACTACTTCTATTTGATTAAAAAAAAAAAAGCCTGTATATTTCTACTTTTTAAAAAATTATTGATGGCTTCTGGTTGAATTAGGTGAAAAACATACCTGCAATTAATTTGGAGAAAAAAAAAAATTGAGATATCAAAATGTTTTTCATGATACTTAGAAAACCAAAATTTTCATATTTAAAATAAAACCAAAGAACTTTTATTTTTTTTTTTTGAGGGTGAATGAAACATTACTTCTGATTTGAAACAATTTTCTTAGGGACAGTTTTCCTGTTTTCAGAAAAAATGAAACTCTTTTGGCCTGACACCAAATTATTGAAAATGTGTAACAGGAAAAAAAAAGGATCCAATAAAAGAATAAAAAAAATAAAATTTTTGCACACCTGGGAAGGTGACACAGAGAGACATTTTCATATTTGGCTCTGAGGGCAGGCCTTGGAGTAGAACTGGGTAGAGCGTTATGTTTTGGCCCAGGATGTTTTCACTCATGAACAGTTTTTCTTTTTTAAAAAAAAGAAGCACCAAAATGTGCACACTTCCAAAAATGGTTTGTAGAAAACACTTCAAACAATTGGTACCTTCATCTATAAGCAAAGCAATTTTCAAATCTGAGAGGCAAGAACACCCCAAGAAACTCTGATTTTATATTCTCTTTTTGTCTAATTAGGAAACATTTTTAGAGAGACTGATGAAGTTATTGTCTAATAGTTTTCAGAGGCTGCAAGATAACTGAATAGTTGACTTCTCCAAGTGGACCTTCTAGCTGATGACTCATTTTCTTGCCCTGATATGGCTTTGCTAACTAAAGGTCATCTTGTTTACCTGACCTCCATTTCTCAAGTGCCTTCCTCATTTTTGAAAAAGGGATTTGGCTTGCAAGTCATCTGAATGCCATGAAGTGGCTGGATCTCAGTCCTTTGAGAGGAGACACTAATAAACCCTAGACATCCTCCCAAGATGTCCATCCATCTGGTCTTCACTGAACAACAGAAAAGCACTCTGTAGGTGGAGAAAGGTTGTTGCATCAGGGAACTTTGCATGACAGCTGTGCAATCTCCCCTGTGTTTCTGGGAAGGAAAGAGGGAAGCAAGAACAGAAATAGTTTTGGTCTGTTATTGTCAGATAAGATGGTGCTGAAGACCATGTAGGAAGGTATTGTCTGGCATATTTGGAGAGAGGATGATGGAAATGTGGGTGCACAGAGTCTGGAGCTGGGGGGAGGGGAAGAGTGTACCTTAAGTCAGGAGAGGTGGAAAGTGTGATGTACCTGTCTGGGTGCAAGTGATGAAGGTACAAATAAATCAGATGTTAAAGCATGTCTGCTTTTGGGAGGTAGAGTGGGAAAAAAACTTTAGGATTCTCAGTTCTAGCACACGAGGTGGCAGCCTGAGAGCTCTTTATATTTTAAATCCCTGATGGTGACTGTACTCCACAGACAAAATGCTGTTGCCTAGTGCAGTCTTAGTTCCTTTGGACACTGTCATCTGTCCTCTGTGTACAGAAACACAGCACGCTGCTTCAGACTTGCTCTCTGTAGTGTACTATTCCTCCTTTGATCCTCATCTCCAGCCAGGGGGAATGACATCAGTCCTGCAAATTATGGGCCCTCTAGCAAAGGAACTGAGGTAGGATTTAGCTGCATACATAGGCTGAGATTAAGGGACTTCTCAGGAGAAAACAGCAGATTTGTTTTTCTGCATTCTTCAAGGGTTACATGGTAGTAAGAATGAAAAACCACAAGATTTGAAAAAAAAGTCTTGTTACAACTTGCTTTTTATATATATCATCTAATTGTGCATTAAAAAAAAAAAAAAAAAAAAGAGCAGCAATTGTAAAGCCACTATTAGATATGCAAAATTAACTTTCCCTTTGAACCTCCACAAAACAACCCTAGCCAGCCAAACATGAAGAAAGTCACAACAACAAAACTTTAAATCCCCCAATCCAGGAACAAATCAGAAAGAAAAACACCCCCAGGAAAAGTAAACTAATAAAATAACCTTCGCAAAACCCCTGCCCTCAGCAGTGTTTTAATCCAAAAAAGGGGGCAGAAAAAGCCACGGATTCCCTTAAGTCATGAGAGGCTTTACTATTGCCAGTGATTTTATGAGGAGGGCTCTTGGACGCTGCACCAGTGGGCAGGAATATAAAGCCACAAGACAGAGCTACATCTGCAAACAGAGCACTTCAAAAAATTTACAAATGCACCTTGGCTTTGTTTCCCTTAAACTGCAAGCAGTTCATAAGCTACCTTTGAAAATTTTAGTCTGCATCTGCACACTGGCTTTCTCTGCAGCATAAATGGCTGGTCTTATACTAATGGGCTGGAAAACGTTTTTTTGGGGAGGGGACGTGGGGGGGTGGAAATCCTCTGAGTGCAGCGCCTAGGCTAGGGTTGCAGAGGAAGCTGAGGCCTCCAGCCCTGCACAGGAAGCAATCTTAGAGCAGGCCTTAAATGCCAGATTCCAGGCAGAGTTTAACTAACCACTGACAGCTCTGTAAACAAAGCAGGGACAAAAAGAGAACAGCTTTCCCTTTTCTGGTAGTCATTTTTGGTTTGGGGGCTGCAGGGGAATTCTGTAATACTCGGCTTGATGGGATATAAACCAAGGCTGGAAAGGCTTTGTATATGAAGAACTGTAAAGGGGAAAATATTTCATGGACTAAATCATAAAGAAGAAGGTAGGGCACGGGGAAAATGCGTGGATTAAACTGCAAAAAAAATATTGCTACTTCTGGTTCTTTGAGCAGGATTTATACATAGCTTGGCTCCTCCTGGGTGGTATTTAAAAGCTGCAGCTTATTTTCCTTCTCTTCTTTTCTCTTTTCCTTTTGTCGTCTTTTTTCCTTTTCTCATTTTCTTTTCTCTTCTTCTTTTTCATTTTTTTTGAAAGCGGGGAGGGTGGAGATGGATGGATTGGGACTAGCTTTTGCAAAACTTTTAATTATCCATGCAACTAAAGAAAACAAGTTTCTTGTGCTGCGTTTTTACTGCTTTCAGTAAAAATTGGAAGCTTAAAGTTAAGATCC